TCTCAACTACCTAATCCAACAGGTAAAGGTACTTGGTAAGTCCAATAGAGTGTTTTGAGTGGTAAAACACGAGAGTGAGTGATACACTAAGGGAGTGAAGTGAGGTTATATTGCATTATTTTGTTGTCCACTAACCTTTGCAGGTACAGACGAGACATGGAACAAACTCAACCGACCACAGACTACTCCTTGATGTTCACCACCATGACGAACGAGCTCAGGCGAGTTAGTGAGCAACAAATGGAGGAGTTGCACACTCGGTTTGATGAGCTATCCAAGAGTCTCACACGAGGCTCTCGTTCAAGGTCTCACAACCGGAGTACCCATGGCACCAAAGAGGCAAACAGTGAAGATTACTCGGCTAGTGAGGATGACGAAAGAGTCGAAAGGCCTAAAAGGGACACGTCTGAAAACGAACTCAAGGGACTTAAAATTCAAGTTCCCACATTCAAGGGCAAAAGTGATCCTGAGGCGTACTTGGAGTGGGAAGGCCGCATCGAGATGGTCGTCGACTGCTACGACTATAGCGAGAAACAAAAGGTGAAAGTTGCCACCGTTGAGTTCACCGACTACGCACTAGTTTGGTGGGACCAAGTAAGGACCAATCGAAGGAGAATGGGAGAACCATGAGTCCGGACTTGGCGATAACTTAAGGCATTGATGCGAAAGAGGTTTGTTCCTAGCTACTACAACCGCGATCTCCACTCTAAACTGCAAACTCTCACTCAAGGCAACATGAGTGTGGAAGACTATTACAAGGAGATCGAAATGGCCATGATGAGGGCCAACATCCAAGAGGACAATGAGGCCACAATGGCAAGGTTCCTAAGAGGTCTCAATCCTGACCTCCAAGAGCCCTTTGGAACTCCAACCTTATTTGGACATGCATGACCTTTTGGAGCTAGCCATCAAGGGGCCGAGAGGGGAAAGAAATTACGGAGGGGAGGCCGAACTTTCCAAACCTCCAATTCGGGTGCATGGAAGGGAAATCCAATCAGGAGAGCCGCCCATGAGAGTGAGGATGCGACTACACCAAGCCCTTCGGGCCGCACTCCAGGTAACTTCCCTAACCAAATTTCCAATTCTACCCTTAACAAGTTTGTTGATGCAGCTAGATCCACTTTCAAGTCCACTTAAGAAACTCCTAAGCCTAGGAGTAGGGATATTAAATGCTTCAAATGTCAAGGATTCGGACATATCCAATCTCAATGTCCGAATCAAAGGGTAATGCTCATCACTCACAATGGAGACGTCGTGTTGGATGATGATGATTGTGAGAAGATGCCCGGCTTGACCAAGGAGGAATGCTTGGAAAATGACTCTGGCGAGGAGGAGTGTCCACCTACCCAAGGTGAAATTGGGTGTTTGGTGGCACGAAGAGTGCTCACTGCCCGAGTCAAAGAAGATGAGCAATTGCAACGAGAGAACCTATTTACACTCGATGTAAAGTCGGTGACAAAGTGTGCAGTCTCATCATAGATGGGGGAAGTTGCACCAATGTAGCAAATTTCCTAATGGTAGAGAGCTTGGGGCTTCCTACAACTAGACATCCGCATCCCTATCAACTTCAAGGGTTAAGTGAAAATGGCGAAGTCCGTGTCTACAAACAGGTACGCTGATGTGTGCACGGCCCTTAGCCCAAGTAATGACCCAGTCCAAGTTCCATTGGGCCCAGTCACACGTGCACGACCCAAGCCCTTGTTCGAATTGTCCAAAACCAACATGGAGTCCATAGAGATATTGAAGGCTTGAAGGATTTTAATCGAGTTATCTACACCATGACCCAAGCCCATGAAGACTCAAGTGGGCCTCCAAATGAGTTGGCCGAATAGGGCCTTAGGCCTTAGTAGTTATTTAGCAATTGATTAGTGTTTAAGTAAGAGCATGGGCCGACCCATCTTGTCCCAAGACCATGGGCCGACTTTTCCCTTTCCTAGTCCCTTTAGGGTTTCAGTCACTTTAGGCCTATAAATAGGCTTGCTTTGTAAGGTTTTAGGGGGACGTTTTATCAATAAAGTTTTGCATATTTTCGATTCTTCTTGAGAGAGAGATTCGACCCCTTTACTTGCTTTGGCAAGGGTTTTGAGCAGTCTTGCGTCCTGTCCTAGATTGTTCTACCGACCTATTCCCCTGGAGTATTCACCTTCACCGGAGTGTCATCTACCGTCTTGAATCAAATTATGTCGTCCGTTTGGTTCTAGATCCCGCAATTCCAAGCGTTGGACGTCCTCGCTAGATCTTTGGGCAAACGTGCTACGTGTCTCGAAACGTGTTGATCGAGGAACGTATCATACGCTTTCCTATCTCAATTGGTCAGTACTGTGATGAAGTCATGTGCGATATTGTATCTATGCATGCTACTCATGTGCTACTAGGAAGGCCATGGCAATTTGATAAGCATGTTACTTTTGATGGTAGGTCTAACAAATATACTCTTTTGCACAATGATAAACGAATGGTCTTAACCCCTCTCACACCTTCACAAGTGTACGAAGACCAACTTAAATTGCAAAGAGAATGTAATTTAGACTGCCAAAAGAAAAAACAACAAGGGGCCGAATCTGAAAATTGTTCGACCTCTACGTTGGAGCCATTGGCCCAAGGGAGAATGTTGTTACTAGTGTTACAAATGCACAAGTATTAGTTAAGTCAAACACTAGGAAACAAAATATGATAATAAAGGCTAAGGATGATAGGAAACTTGTGCAATCTAATCAGCCTTTGTTACTTGTGCTCCGTAAACATGTGCTCTTGAATGCTGATGAACTCAACAAGGCATTGCCTTCGAGTGTGGTTGCTTTGTTGCAGGTTAAGCAAGAAGAGGTTGAGTTGATCATGGCATGTCCCATCCCTATATCCATTGGTGAATATCAGAGTTTTCAGGAAGTTTGGCTCTTAAGTGTTGTATCCCTTTACGATCCACTGGTATTTAACTTGTCCTACGCCTTCTGACCATCGTGCCACAAGTGGTCTTCATTCTATCAGCTGTATTTTGGAGGATTCAAGGAGATGTCACCTTGCTGCCAATGCACCATACATTCTACATTCCATCATGGAACCAAAGCAATATGCATTATCGACGAGGAGTCATTGGAGTAACGCCATGAGGTTTTTTCTCTTGGCGGGTTGTGGGCATTTTCAAATTAACCAAGAGACATTTGAGCCGAATTATCATAACCATGACGTCTGCAAGTATCATTCAATCAAAGAGGGCCAATGTGTGGTGGCGTTCGATTTGAGGATTCACACTACCAACCCTTATTCGTGTCATTCATTTCCATCCAAATTTAAGGACAAATCCTTCTCAAGTGAAGGGGACTGATGTGTGGGTGGCGGGACCTTGAAGGCTTGAAGGAGTTACCTACACATTGATCCAAGCCTACGAGAGCCAAGTGATGGTTGTTAGTTTGGGCTCTAGCCCGCTAGTTAGTCTTTGTAGTTTTTCCAATTAAAGGGAGTCGGCCAACTGTTGGGCCTTTTTAGTCTTGAGCCGTCAAGTTATTGTTTGGATTAATTACTAGTTGTAGGGCTTGTTGAGTCATGGATTCGGCCCACCTTGTCCAAGGCCTGGCCGAACCTTTATTTCCTTTTTACTAGCATTAGGGTTTCGTTAGTTTGCCTATATAAAGGCTTGCTTTGTAAGCATTAAGGGTAGACTCGATTGATTAATGAAATTGTCTTCTTTCGATTTTCTTCTTGGAGAATTTCGTTCCTTTACTTGCTTTGGCAAGGGTTCTTGAGCAATCTCGTGTGTCCTTAATTGTTCATCCGATCTATCCACTTGAGTATTCACCTCAATTGGAGTCGTCGTTCTACCACCTTAAACCAACTCGTGTCGTCCGTGTTGATTTTAGGTCCCGCAATCCAAGCGTTGGACAACCTCGCTAGATCCTTGGGCAAACGTGTTACGTGTCTCGAAACGTGTTGATCGAGGACCGTATCATGAAGGTCAGGGTTGAGACCTCTAAGAAATCTCGCCATGGTCGCTTCACTATCTTCTTGAATGTTCGCCCTCATCATGGCCATCTCGATCTCCTTGTAGTAGTCCTCCACACTCATGTTGCCTTGAGTGAGGGTTTGAAGTTTGGAGTAGAGATCGTAGTTGTAGTAACTAGGAACAAATCTCTTGCGCATCAATGCCTTGAGTTCTCGCCAAGTTCGGACTCGTGGTTCTCCCATTCTCCATCTATGGGTCCTTACTTGGTCCCACCAAACTAGGGCGTAGTCGGTGAACTCAACGGTGGCAACCTTCACCTTTTGTTCCTCGCTATAGTCATAACAGTTGAAAACCATCTCGATGCGGCCTTCCCATTCCAAGTAAGCCTCAGGGTCGCTTTTGCCTTGGAATGTAGGGACTTGGATCTTAAGTCCCTTGATCTCATTCTTGGGTGTATCCCTCCTTGGCCTCTCGGCCCTTTCCTCCTCCTCACTGGCCGAATAATTCTCACTTTGTGCCCCTCTGGTGCCTTGGTTACTTCGGTTGCGAGATCCAGAGCGAGAGTCCCTCGTGAGACTCTTGGATAGCTCATCAAAACGAGTGTGCAACTCCTCCATTTGTTGCTCACTAATTCGCCTGAGCTCGTTCTTCATGGCGGTGAATATCAGTGAATAATCTGGGCTCGGATGTTCTTGCTCCATGCCTGCAAAAGGTTAGTAACAAGAGGAAAACAATACAAGTGTGACCTCACTTCACTCCCTCAGTGTGTCACTCTCCCTCGTATTTGTCACTCAAAACACTCTAATGATCTTACCAATTACCTTTACCTGTTGGATTAGGTAGTTGAGAAATGCCGCACAAGTCCAATAAATGTCACCAACTTTTTGCACAAGAGTAACCAAGGAGCAAGACACAAATGGAATGCAAAAAGAGTGGGATAAGATGCGATTTTTGGAAGGCTCCAAGTGACGGATAGATTTGACGGATGCGCTAGTGTGAACGGAAGTTTGTGATTGTTTACTTTGATGATATCCTGATATATAGTCGAAACGAGCATGAGCACATGGAACATCTGAGATTAGTTCTTGATACACTTCGAAAGGCGTGTCTCTATGCTAACCTTAAGAAGTGCACCTTTTGTACTAATGAGCTTGTATTTCTAGGCTATGTTGTGAGTTCGCAGGGCATCAAAGTAGACGAATCCAAGATTGAGGCTATCAAGCAATGGCCAACACCCAAATCCGTCCCTGAGGTGCGCAGTTTCCATGGATTGGCAGGCTTCTACCAACGTCTTGTCAAAGACTTCAGCACCATTGCTGCTCCATTGACCGCCGTGACAAAGAAGAATGATAAATTCCATTGGGGAGAAGCCTAAGAACAAGCCTTTCTCACCCTCAAGGAAAAACTCACACATGCACCTGTCTTAGCATTACCTAACTTTAACAAGACCTTTGAAATTGAGTGTGATGCTTCTGGTGTAGGTATTAGAGTTGTCCTCATGCAAAACAATAGGCCATGTGCTTACTTTAGCGAGAAACTAGGAGTGCTGCCCTGACCTACCCCACGTATGACAAGGAGCTGTACGCACTTGTGAGAGCCTTGGAAACATAGCAACACTACCTCCATCCAAGGGAGTTCGTGATCCACACTGATCACGAATCCTTGAAGTTTCTCAAGGGGCAACCAAAGTTGAGCAAATATGATGAGGAGGTCGAGAGAGCTATCCAAGTGGAGCAAGTGAAGGTGCCATTGGGGCCTATGACACGAGCTCGCGTGAAGAGGTTGAATGAGACACTACAAACATTGGTTCGTGCGGCTCGTGAGTCAAGTGGAGAGCCAAGGGCCATTGAGGGCCTCAACGAAGCTAGATATATTGTCCTACTATCGGCCATCCATGAGGATTAGCTGCCCATGATTCGCCTGGGCCATGGCCCATTATTAGTTTAGTAGAGTGTAATAAAGAGGTCCAACTAGCTTGTGGTTTGGACCTTAGTCGTTATTAGTTTTTGGGTCAAGGGCCTAGGCCATGTGGGCCTTAGGACCAATAGCACTTTAGTGGGCCACGTAGTTAGTCCCTAGGCTGAGCCGGTACGGGCAACGCCCCCGGAGCTTACGGGCCATATGTTGTTGGGCCTTAGTCATGGCTACAAATAGTCTTAGGTCATTGTTTTACATTCAGTTTTTGATGATTAATAAAATTACATTGAGAGTTCTCTCAAAGCTTCATTGAAGCACCTTGAATATCTTAGATTTATATCTTAGGTATTCCATTGACTTATCAATCTAGGACCGCGCTAGATTGTGGCGTCTTCTACAAATACCGAGGTTCGTTGACCACTTGATCAACGGGTTTAGGTGATCCACTGCGTTCGTCGTCTTCAACGTGAGTCTCTACTTTTAGATCCAAGCCTTTCTGTATGGGTTGTATCACAAGGTTGGTGCCGTTCGTTTCATTTTATCTCCTCAGGGCCCATGCGGTAAGCAGGTTTGTTGGGTAATGGTGCTCCAGGAATCAGATCGATTTGGTGCTCAATCCAGCGAATGGGGGGTAAACCATCAGGGACCTCATCAGGGAAAACATCCTCAAAATCCTGCAAAAGAGCAACCATACTCGAAGGCAATGCCTTGTCGAGCTCAGCAACATCTAGTAGCACATGCTTGCAAATCATGAGTAAGACAGGTTGGTCAGCATTTACAAGTTTGCGCACTTCCTTAGCCTTAATTATCATGTTTTGCTTCCTAGTGTTTGGTTTAGTCAATGCCTGATCACGTGGTACACTAGGTGTGCTCACTTGACCCTTGGTGGATTGCTCACGTGTGGAAGTGGAGCAAGTGCCAGGGTCGGGCGTCCTTTGCTTTCTCTTTTGACGGTCTAAGTCACACTCCCTTTGCAATTTTAATTGGTCCTCATACACTTGTGCAGGTGTGAGTGGTGTCAGGACCATGCGTTTTTCATTGTGTAAAAGTGTGTACTTATTTGCCCTACCATTAAATGTGACGTGTTTGTCAAATTGCCAAGATCTTCTGATGTGTGCACAGACCTTGGCCCACGCAATAACCCAGTTCGAGTACTACTGGGCCCAGTCACACGTGCACGGGCTAAGCAATTCAAGGAATCACTCCAAACCCTTGTGCGGAATGTTCAAGACCAACAAGGGGTTCATCGAGACATTGAAGGCTTGGAAGGTGATAACCCAGTTGTCTACACGACCATCCAAGCCCGCGAAGAGAGCCCGTGAAGAGCCAAGCGGCCCAAGGCCGATTAGGCCTTAGTGTTAGGAGTCTTAAGTTAGATTAGTCCTGTTGTTAGCCATGGATTCGGCCCACCTCTTGTTGAGGATGACCGAACCACTTGGCCCCTTTTAATAAAAGTACATTGAGAGTTCTCTCAAAGCTTCAATGAAGCACCTTGAATATTTTAGATTTATATCTTAGGTATTCAATTGACTTATCAATCTAGGACCGCGCTAGATTGTGGCGTCTTCTACGAATATCGAGGTTCGTTGGCCACGTGAATGGGTTTAGGTGATCCGCTGTGTTCGTCGTCTTCAACGTGAGTCTCTACCTTCTAGATCCAAGCCTTTCTGTACGGGTTGCATCACAAGGTTGGTGCCGTTCGTATCAAAGTGCCATGTCAAATGGGTAAGTTTCATTGACACCTTCTCTTATGTCATTAAGTACAAAACTGGCAAAACGAATGTGGTAGCTGATGCTTTATCTCGTAGACATTCTTTACTTGATGTTCTTGATGCTAAGTTGTTAGGGTTTGAAATGCTCAAAAAACTATATGCCCATGACACTGACTTTGGTGAAATCCATACATCTTGCATTAAAAGTCCACCTGGAAAGTATTTCTTGCATAATGGGTTTTTGTTCTATGTCGATAAGTTGTGTGTGCCTAACTCTTCCATTTGTGACCTGTTGATTCGAAAGGAGCATAGTGGTGGTCTCATGGGACATTTTGGCATTGTTAAGACTTTAGCAATGTTGCAAGAGCGCTTTTACTAGGCTCATATGCGTAGGGATGTTGAACACATGGTTGGTAGATGTGCCACTTGCCACAAAGCCAAGTCTAAAACAAATCCATCCATATGGTTTGTATACCCCATTGCCCATTCCACATTATCCTTGGGTAGACTTGTCTATGGACTTTGTCTTGGGACTACCTAGGTCACCAAGGGATAATGATTCCATCTATGTAGTCGTTGATAGATTCTCTAAGATGGCTCATTTCATCCCTTGTCACAAAACTGATGATGCATCTCACATTGCTAACTTGTTCTTTAAAGAGATTGTTCGTTTGTATGGTATGTCTCAAACCATTGTTAGCGATAGAGATGTGAAGTTTTTGAGTTATTTTTGGAAGACTTTGTGGTCCAAGCTTGGCACTAGATTGTTGTTTTCGATCACAAGTCATCCACAAAGCGATGGACAAACTGAGGTTGTCAATCGCACACTTGGCACATTAATCAGGGCTTTGATTAAAAAGAGCCTTAAATCTTGGAAGAGTGTTTGCCGCATGTTGAATTTGCTTGTAATAGGACTGTCCATAGTGCAACACACTACTCACTATTTGAAATTATGTATGGTTTTAACCCCCTGACTCCCCTTGATTTGGTACCCTTACCTTCCTCTGAGCACACAAGCTTAGATGGGAAAAAAAAGCTGATTTTGTGCGCAGGTTACATGAAGCCGTTCGAGCAAACATTGAGAGGCGTACTCAGCAATACATCCAGCAAGCCAACAAGCGCCGTCACAAGATGACCTTTGAACCTGGAGATTGGGTTTGCTGCACTTGAGGAAAGAAAGATTCCCCAAGCAACGCCAAAGTAAGTTGTCCCCAAGGGGTGATGGCCCTTTTCGCGTGCTCCAACGCATCAATGACAATGCCTACAAATTGGAGCTACCTGGGGAGTACAATGTTAGCGCGACCTTCAATGTCGTGGATTTGAGCCCGTTCCTTGAGGAATATGATCCAGATTTAAGAACAAATCCTTCTCAAGTGGAGGGGACTGATGTGTGCACAGACCTTAGCCCAAGTAATGACCCAGTTCAAGTTCCATTGGGCCCGGTCACACGTGCACGGGCCAAGCACTTCAAGGAGTCTCTTCAAACTCTTGTGTGAAATGTTCAAGACCAACAAGGAATCCATCGGGATATTGAAGGCTTGGAAGGTGATAATCCAGTTGTCTACACGATGATCCAAGCCCATGAAGAGTCAAGTGGATCCCCATGTGGGACGGTCGACTAGGCACTAGGCTTTAGTGCTAGGTTTCATTGTTTAGAGTAGTATTAGGTCACTTTATTGAGTCCTAGTTTTGGCCCATTCAAGTAATGGATGGCCGAACCCCTTTTCCTTTGGTCCTAGGTTTTCATTAGTCCCTTAACCTATAAAAAGGCTCACTTTGTACGGTTAAGGGGGTCACGTAATTTTGATAATAAAAATTCTGATTTGTTTCTCTTCAATTGTTGAGAACATTTGAACTTTTCACTTGCATTGGCAAGGGTTCTTGAGCAATCTCGCGATTGTCCGTGATTGATCTACTGACCTATCCACTGGAGTATTCACCTCGTTTGGAGTCGTCGTTCTACCACCTTCAATCAATTTGTGTCGTCCGTTTGGTTTTAGGTCCCGCAACCCAAGCGTTGGACAACCTCGCTAGATCCTTAGGCAAACGTGCTAGGTGTCTCAAAACGTGTTAATCAAGGACCGTATCATGTATCCTTTTACTTGAACTGTTGAACATTTAATGATTGGCCATACGAAGTGTTATTGTTTATTTTCTTGACTTGTTATGCTCGCTACTTTGATATTTTCACTTTTAAATGAGGGTCAACTTCCTATTTCGAACCTTACTGAGCTTTACCTAACTCTATTAGTTTTCTTTTCCTTACAAGGGAATCGAACGAGGGCGTGAGACTGGTACTGACTAGCATAGTCTAGTTTTTAAATTTTTTTTGGCGATTGTGCTTGCGCTAGTGCTCGATTAGGGTTGAATTCTTTTGGAACTCAAATCTTTTGTTATATTCGGAATTGTATGAATGTTTGAGATAGAAATGAATGTAATTATACGTTCCAAGCATAGGAACTGTTATTTCATCTATTTTTGTAGTTGTACCTTATTTTATTTGAAGTAAGTGAGCGAGTCCTGACAAGAGCTGGGCAGGCAGTTTGCTAAACCCTAGAGTACGCCCTAGGGGGAGGTGGGATCGTCACAGGTGGTATCAGATCCTAGTTTGAATTGGTCTGGATAGATTGAGTGATGTAAATATGATATAACTTGTTCTGATTGCCTAAGTGTGAAACCCTAGAGAATAGGTGTGACGCCCACTTCTCCCAAGGGCGAACCCAAGGGTATCCGCGGAATGCTTGTC